CCCAAAAAAAAAAAAAAAAAAATGTAGCGTTAATTTCAGGCCCTCCCTCTGATTTCTGGTTCTCCCCCCTCTCCTCCCCCTCTCCTCCCCCTCTCCTCCTCTACCTCACCTATTCATCCATTGTTGAGCAAATTCTTCTCCTTCACTCCTTCACAAAGACCCCATCTGCCTCTTTTGTCTCTCTCTCTCCCCTCTCTTTCCCCCTCTCTCTTTCTCCCTTCCCCCATCATTTCTCACTCAGAGAAAAAAAAAAGTTTAGAGCTCTGTCACTGTGTCCTCTCTTCTTTCCTTCACTTTCTTTTTTTTGCTAAAAATATGCAAAATGTGGGAGAGAGAAAGGGGGATTATGGGAGTCTGGGATTTAAAAGTGCACTATAAAAAGGGGGATAAAATTGGAAGTGAGACTCAGTGGCAGTCCATCCCCACATTTTTTTACTAGTTGGAGGAGACACTTGCATCATATCGCAGCTACTCGTCTTCCTCTTCCTTCTGTTTTGATAGAGATGATCAACAGAGCAACTGAGAGATGAAGAGGCAGAGGGGCTGACTGACTGACTGTATTACATTAGAAAAGTCCAACCAAAATTCAATCAAAAACTGATTGAAAATGTTTTTTCCATAAGAACTAACTTGACTATTACAATTGTTGATTGTCTGTATGTTATCAAACATCTACTTCTACAAACAGGTCAACTAACAGCAAAGTTTAAGACAATTGGATAATCGTTTAATTAATGCAATTAGGAGAGGCGGGATTTATTTCAAAACATATTTTTTCAATTCATTCCAGGTGTAGTCTATTTAATACTGAGGTTTACAAGGAAATGCTGCTGCCCTCCCTCCCGCTCTAGCACCCATCTCATTTCTACTGTGTGTTTGTGTTGATATAATTGTCTGTCTCCATCCAACTCTGTGCCAGTTTTAAATCAGCAAGCTGACCTCCAGGAAATGGGAAGACTGTGTCTGTGTTTTGTGTGTGTTGTGTGTGTGTGTGTGTGTGTGTGTAGGAAATGGTTTGATGACCCATGAGGGGCACAAATTGAAGACTACTGAAGAAACAATAGCTGCGTCCCAATTCGAAAACTAAAGAGTTCACACTACAGGAGTGAACAAACAAAGTATACATACAAAAAGATGGTTGGTCTTTGAGTGGACACTATGAGACAGAGGAAATAGAGACACTATAGCAAACAATTAAAACAGAAAATAGGAATGAGATTGCTCGAGCAACATCTTGGGAAGCAAAAGGAAGTATTAAATCTTTAGAAAAACACGTTGTTGTCTCTTTGTTTGATGTTTGACGGCACATTTCATCATGTTCTCTTAGGATACACAAGAATAAAGTATGTGGCCTTCTTGTATGCTAACTGCAAAAACACTGTTATAAGTAGGGATGGGACGATATATGACATTATTGCATATCGCGATAAAAATGCTCAATACATTTATTGTGGAGAATTTCCATTATGTGAATAATCATCAATATCCTCACATGGTTTGACCAGCATACAGTCCTATATTGATATTTTCTGATTAATTTTTGAACCGAGCGGACAAGGTATAGCCTACATCTTCCCGTCATTCCAAAAATCCTAATTCCTGTCACCATGTCTGAAGGCTCGGCTGACCCTTGTATAGCCACCGAAAAAAGAGGTGTGTATGGATTCCAAAAGGAAAGAACAATAAACCCATCTGTGATGGCAATAAATATATGTGTTTAACAAAATGTAAGGTGATTCCAGTATGGTTTAGTGCCCTTTTAAAAATATGGAAATATAATTTTCATGATTAT